GGACGTAAACAGAGTTGCTGGTAGAAGCGGGACATAAACAGAGTTGCTGGTAGAGGTGGGACATAAACAGAGTTGCTGGTAGAGGCAGGATGCAAACAGAGTTGCTGGTAGAGGCAGCACGTAAACAGAGTTGCTGGTAGAGACGGCACGTAAACAGCTTCCTTGACGTAACCCCATAAGAAATAGTCACATGGGTGGGATCAGGTGATCTTGGTGGCCAGAAGTGGAGAGCCAGATCTTCATTTCCTATGCATCCTGCCCAATGCCCAGGAAGTGACTGATTCAAAAAGTTTTGGACATCAAGATGGCCTAATTCTGCATTTGAATAGGTTAAAAAAATTTAATCTTTCTCTTTCCATTGGTGTACAAATTATTCATTTATTTTTTATACCTGAATAAGTAAAAATGTATTAAATTGGGTCCATTATTTAGAACAACCCTGCATATGGAAGGGAAATTATTCCAGCTAAGAAAAGTTATATATTGAGTCTAATACTCGGCTGAAATTTTTGGCTTTATTGAGTTACCCAAGAGTACAAGATGTATTGACATTGAATATTTGAACCATGCATCCTAGAATTAAACTAATAGATGTACAATTAACGAAAGATTGTGCTGAAAGGCATTGGAGGCACTTCTAATGTATAGCTGATCATATTTTTGGTTCAACACGGAATACAATATTTTTCCAATTCCACAAATTTGGTAGTTTTAATTGCAGTTTCATTATGTCAATGACATGCCACAGACTTGGTACTCAAAATAACACGCTCCATTATACAAAAATATCCATAGTAATATAGCTTATGGAAGAAATTTCTGCAATTCTGGACTATTTAAAAAAATATAACTAAGTACTCACTGCAGTGAGTGACAGAGCACATTTTCTTGTCGACAAAAACTTGAGGTCATGGACAGACAGACGGACAGACATGGCGAGCACAATAGTGCATTTTTTCCATAAATGAGAAAATGTGCTAAAAAGTTATTTAGAACAATTTCCTGATCCCTTCAAAATATTAAGAATTAGTGACAGTAGAGACCTCAAACCCATGTTTCTGCTTTTTTCTACCAAACCTACAAAAGCTGGAAAAATTTCCATTTGTTTGGGCAGTTTGAACTTAGTAACCCAAAAATTTTCATAAATGCTAAATAGGCCAAAGTTTGAATGTACAGGGAGTCCGCACTCCCCAGGTTACAAACCGGTGCGGGACCAGGAGTGTGTAAATACATCTGTTCATATGTCCAAAGCACATTAAACTACTGGTAGTGTTTAATGTGCTTAGAACAACCTTCAAATCTGTTTGTATGCAACTTGGAAGTTTGTATCCTGGTTAGGTGGTGTATTTGCATATAATACTTTATATCACATAAAACTTGCTAAGCTTGGATTATATGTACAGTGTGCACAAATCTCTGCATCCATGTATAATGATAGTGAAAAGCACCTGTGATTGAATATAATACACTTCAGGTATAAAGATGGGGCAATGATATATACATGAGCTCATGGTGGTATTCTAGCAAAGGACAGTTCCTTTAGGTCGGCCATAGGAATTACGCACTCGATGGCATACCAGGTAATGACCAGGGAGATTGGGTTTGGGTTTGCCAACCAATTTTATAAAGCATTTTTAATTTGAGTAACAATTCTAATGTTTTCTTGCCACTAATATTTTGGGGAACAGACTTAATGAGAAGCTTTCAAGTCCCCTGCCTTAAAAAACAAAATTAAATTGAAAGAGGAGCACATTTTACCATGAAGAGCATTGGATTGTTTATTTTTGTTAACATCTAAAAGATGATTCCTCTAGTGGAAATCTCAAGGCTCCAGAAATGGCAGGAAAGCTCTATTCATGGCTTAACCCTCTACTGCCTGACATGAGTAACCAGAGCAATATTGCCACATGCCTCCCAGTACTTTCCAAATAGAATATGTTCTAGTGAGCGTAAAACGACTTGTGCGTGCTGATGGTTGCTGCCACATATGACAACTTTATAATGTTCTCTGTTGCATCCAAATGACCTCAGGTTGCTACACTCAATTGTTTACATATAATTTAAGTTGAAAGTTATGTTCCTGGAGAGTGACATATGGCAGCAGAGGGTTAAAATTTTAGATATATCCAAAACTTGATTGTGTGCATGTGGCGACATAAGATCATGGCATATAATTACCATGTCCCAAGAGCCCAGGCTTTTTCATATCTACCTTAAAGTAGCACCTTACATGTGCTATGTTTGAAAGTATAAGCAAATGATTGGTGATTGTACTAGGCATGATAAAATTGCCTCAAAACACAATGCTAGGGTTTTGACATTTATTTCTGGGAGATTTTGAGTCACCATGTATGGTGACTTGCCTGCCAGAAGTTTAATTGTTATACTATTAAATATTCTAGAGGCACTAAGGCTGGGTTAACTATAGTAATCAAGTAAATGAAACAAGATCTCACCAAATCTTGAAAGGGGAAAATGTTTCAGTGTCCACCTCCATCAGTCTGAAATCCTACCACACAAATACAATAAATTTGTAAACTTAATTTTAAATCTTAGGTTTTAAAACCTACATTGACACATGAAAAACCAATCCAGGTAAATTAACCACCAGCAGAAAGGCCTACTTATTTAGGACTTTAGGATTATAGGAACCAAAGATGGCATTTAAGTGAGGATTCTGTTTGAAAATATACATTGGGTTCTAAAATTGTCAGAAACATTGGTTGTGGAAGCTAAAATAATAGAATCACTGTCTAATTCCAGGACAGCGTTCTGCTTAATTGGCATGAATACCTTCAGCTGAATGAGGGGGATATAAAAAAATGATTCCTGCTCTGTAACTCAAATGTAAAGACTGTGTTTATAATTTTGTAAGTGCCCATTACTATTGTTTTAATTTTTATTCTACTATTTCAGATTCAAAGAGAGATGCCATATTGTGAAACAAAAAGAGAATATAAGAGTGAATTGCAGAATTTATATGTATAGAAGTCATTACCATTTTTGGATATTGTAAAGGTCATTTATACCTTATTTTAGGCTGGAAATCCCCTTCGGCAAATACTGGTGAGTGTGATGTGAAGAATATCTTGGTCACTATGTATGTAGTTATTACCATTCATATTGACAATTGCTTTCTTATTTCTTTTCTCACTGGAATCCTGAATTGGATCTCATCTGAACTATTAGTTTGTAGCGTTTTTGCCAGAGATGTTAGAATAATAATTAATAATAATAATTCAGGACGGTAGTGCTCAACAGATCCTGTAGCTTCATGTAGAGCAAGCCTATTGTTCAACTACTGGTGAAATAATAGCTGCTGGCTTTACACTCATTCATATTTTTAGAAGCTTTCATTTACAAATAATTTAAATTCAAATGATAATATTAAAGAGCACTTCTAAATTACTAAAGTCCCAATAATTTAAAATCCTGTGTGTTTTGTTTGCCACAGTACCTACTGGGCACATTTAACACAATATCTTGAATGAAATAATTGACATTTTAATGAATTTTTAATCTATATATGAATTCTCTAATCATGAATATTTGTACATTAATTACATTCTTGGCTATCAGTGCAGTATCATGTTTTGATTGATTAAATTTCGTTAATCAACCATCACCGGATCTTAATTTTGTGTTGTAGATAGTGGCAAGTTTTGAACATAGAAGCAATTGCTATCTTATCATGATGTTTATTTGTGTTGCAGACGATGACAGGTTTTAAACATGGAAGCACTCAATATCTAATCATGACGTTTCCTTATATTGCAGATGGTGACAGGTTGTGAACATGAAAGCGTTCAATATCTAATCATGACGTTTTCTTATTGTGCAGATGGTAGCAGGTTGTGAACATGGAAGCATTCAATATCTAATAATGACGTTTCCTTATATTGCAGATGGTAGCAGGTTGTGAACATGGAAGCATTCAATATCTAATCATGACGTTTCCTTATTTTGCAGATGGTAGCAGGTTGTGAACATGGAAGCATTCAATATCTAATCATGACGTTTCCTTATATTGCAGATGGTGGTAGGTTTTAAACATGGAAGCACTCAATATCTAATCATGACGTTTCCTTATATTGCAGATGGTGGCAGGTTGTGAACATGGAAGCATGATGGTCCTCTTTGGGTATCTAAGTCAGGGCCATGAACAGAGCACCAGACAACGTTGACTCCACCAAACTGCCCAGCTCAAACGAGTCGGAAGCCCAGCCTCGCACTCCGTCCCCCGACGGCGTTGGTGCTTCTTCACTGGACCGTGCAAGCAACAGCCAGACTTCCAAGACGTTGAAATTTCTCCTAACAGTTCCCCAGAATGCGATAGCTGGGGGATCAGTGTCCTACACGCCTGTTTCTAGGCAGTTAAATTCTTATTACTCAGAATCTGAAGAAGATTACGACGACGAAGAAAATAGTGATTTTCGTCTGCATAACGAACGCCCGAAACCTTCAGTTCCTCCATCTCCCTCGAATATCAGCTCTAAAAGTTCGTTGCTAAGCGGTGTCTCAGTCCTACCGGCTACGACCACTGTCTCGTCACTGAGAGCTTTCAGTGGCATCACCATCCGATCTGTGGCAGACAACGGCAATCAGAAAGAAGAACAATTTTCCGAGTCGGATTCTGATAGTGACGAAGGATCGTATTCAAGCCTCGGCAACTTGGTTGGTGCCGGTGCTCGTAGCTCCATCGCCATCAGCAGCAACGCATCGGGTAAGTCATCACAATCGGGTCGCCTGTGACGTTTACTTGTGTGCTTCCGTTATTTAGAGCGTATGTGATCATTACTGTTATTTGTGTGCAAATAGTCAAGTAAGGGAATGTTAGTTGATAAATTGAGATTTTTGTCTATTTTATTGTCGCGTTAATTTTGCTTGATTGATTTACCTTTTTGTGTTATAAAATCCTAGATTTTATCACTAGTTTCATTGCTCTGCTTTGTTAGCACTATAATGATCTCAATCCTCGAAGCTCGTTAGCAGCTGTATAGATTAGTAGCATCACATTTTTGTCATGCATAACAAATAAAAAATCGGCTAAAAACTAATACAAAAATCCCGTTCTAAGACTCATAACGTACGAATTTGCTAGGCTTTCGCGATCGCACGCGTGTCAAGTTTAGTTTGATTTTACTTACCGAATGATCCCGCCCCAAATAACTCTATTGGGTCGACGTGGATGCTTATTCTTATTCATTTTGCATTTCATATCCAAATTTCATGATTTGTTATCATGGAAAAAAATTTATCAAATAAAAACAATATTTGACCGACTAAAAGCTTAGCTGGATTATATCCCGAACGTCATAATCTATATTCGATAAATTATCATAGAAATCGAGTTTGCTCAAGATTACGTGGTCTGTTACTAGGATACTTGGCTCCCTAGAATCTCGATTCGTTCAGACGATTATTACGCCAGAAAATAATTTAAACTCAAGCTGATTCGCTTCTTTTTATTAACGATTTTCTTCTTCTTACCGAAGTTCATGACTAATCGATTTTCTTTTTGCATTTGCGCACCTGATTAAATTCGCTATTTCCTCGTGAGCTTTTCTGACTCGCTCTATCATTTTAGCAAACGGAATTTTCTTCTATTATTCAAATCATACTTACGAGTTCGAGTCGGAAGACCTTACGTTGTAGATTTAAATTTGCTGTTGTCTCACCTGCATGTTAAAAATTCGAACTGCCTTTGCCTGGCTTAAGAGTTCCTATCCCATTGTTCCATAACTGAATTCATCATTTGTTCGGTGTCCGCTTTGACGGCTAGGGAGGTGTGCTGCTGCATCCACGCCTCTCCTCCGTGTCCTCAGAAGATGCCGCGAGGTCGAAATCGCCGTAAGTCTCTCATCCTCATGTTGCTATCTCTCGTTCAGCATGGATATTACATTTATCATTTCATTCATGGTCGCTTGAGTGAATTTTCAACCATCGGGTCGCTTGAGTGAATTTTCAAGTGTTGATATTTGGGACGAACTTTCGTTGATTGTTAGACGGTGAACATTCATTCGGTGAAATTAATTTTAAAAGTGGAATTCTAATGTTAAATCACTTTCATTATTTATAAATAGCGTGATGAAGTATTGTAGAAAATACACTATGATAACTGGATTTAAATGGTATTGCTTGAAATACTTCTGATGCCAAGTCTCATTTATGTAATGCAAGTTGATCATATTTTGAAGTGACATCAGGTATTATCAAGGATTTTCTGCAATTTTATGGTTGCAAGTTTCCTTTAAAAATAATGTGAAAAATCCGACTGTGCGTACCAACTATTTCAAAATTCTAATATTTAGTGTACTCGTATTATATATACAGTAATATACTGTAGTATTTTTGCATGTAATCATAGGTTGAGCCAGTCTTTCCCGCCAATTAAACTGGCATTTTCCTTATTCTGGCTTTTTCAAGTCTATTGGTAAAACCACCCTTACGTATTCTTATAGCCCCTATTACTTTTTAAGAAATTTCTATAGTTATAATGTTCAATAAATAACTTCTTATATGCTGTCTATTTTTTAAATTAACTTTGTGATAACTCTCACGCGAAATGATATCATTCCACTTCATTTTCTCTTCATTAATTGACGCTACATCGCGCTTTCTCCATTGATTAGCTGGTGCAAATTTACGGCTGGTTCACATTCACTGTGTTTTTGTACTAATCATTCTTGCTTCATCTAACGGCACACGTGTTCTGTGCTGGTGCACATTTTCAATGTGTTTGCACAAAGCATTCATGATTCATCTAACGACACAAGTGCTTTGTGCTGTTGCACATTTTCAGTGTGTTTGCACTTACCATTCATGATTCATCTAACGACATAAGTTTTCCATGCTGTTGTACATTTTCAATGTGTTAGCACTAAGCATTCATTATTCATCTAACGAGACCAGTGCATTGTGCTGGTGCACATTTTCAATGTGTTTGTTCTAATCATTCATGATTTATCTAACGGCACAAGTGTTTATCTAACGGCAGTGATATTTTTAGCGTTATCTGTTATATTGTCAAATTGTTTAATATTATATATCAGGTAATATGGACATATTTTTCTGTCTTTATTTTTTCCGTTATAGCGGCGGAGTAGTTTGAATTTCGGTCATGTCATCTTCTCAAATATTATCTCGTCACAATGAAGTGCAATGAAATTGTAAACATGTTAGCCAATTTGTACACTAAAATTAGAACGCGTTTAGGTTGATCAAAGTTATGAACGAGCAGTGTACTGCATTCTATGCCATCGAATGTGTTTGTGAACGCGGTGAAGCAATCCAGTTTCTCGTGCAATGCTGTTTTCCGCCCTGCGGCATTCATGCTAATCTATTTTGCACCACTAATTTCATGCGTGCTGACCGTGGTGCAGTGCAGACGATGTGCCGTAGTATTAGTCTTCCCCGGTCTCTTCTATTCCAATTAAAAAGCTTCCTCTAACATCGAGCGCTATTTTAGCCTGCTGCCGCTCCCACTCTCTTCCCATTTCGTCCGCCGGCACAAAGGATCCCGCACTCCCTCCTATTTTCTCTTTATCGTGCCTCTGAGTGAAAAATAGGACAATTATTTAGTTCAAGGGAGTGGAGATTGGCCTCAGCCAATGGGCGATCTCATGTGAGGCGCGGTTCGTGGGAGCGCGCCAATGGGGAGGCACGATACATTTCTGTCCTCCAATAGCGGGACGACGCGTAGCCCGCGTCGGGCGAAATGCAACGAAAATGTACGATACTTTCTGGAAACGTCTTTTTTTCTTTCAGTTTCTCGGTGAACTTGATGAAAAATGGGAGTTAGAAACTGATTTCATGCATGATTCAGCAGAAATTAATTATTTCACCGACAAGAATATTCTAATTAATGAAGATCGGTTTTAACGATCGCAATTCACGGTGCTATTAGCTCAGAGACTTTCCTCATTCGTGTACAACATTGGTTCAACCTTCTACGCAGCTGCTAATTAGTGTGCACACATATTAGGTGGCATGTGGCAAAAAGGCGCAGCCGTCAATCCAGAGCTATAAATGAGGCTAGAGCGATAGCAATCGCAGCTGCGAGACGGCCAGAGCGGAGCAGCATAATTGGCTCTCTGAGCCGTGATGTGGGAGCGGCATGTGCGTGCGTGCTGTGGGAGCTGTGTTCTCTGCCAGCTCTGAGCTGTTCATGCCGCCCGCTGAGTCACCTATTGATCTCGGGACGGGAAGTGTGGGGAAAGGTGAATATGCTGGGTGAAGGGAGGAGTGTAGCGCGTCGGTGGGGCAGGACTAGAAACTGGGTGAACAACTGGCTGGGGGAGTGGGAGCAAATGCCGCACGCAGCTCCCGAGTTGGGAGCTCAAAGCGAGCCTCTCGAGAGAGTTGGCTCGAAGTTTGGGAGCACAGGCAAAAAGAGCAAGAAAACTAAATGTGAGGGATTGAACAGTTATTGCGCAGTGGTGTGTGAGCGTGAACTTCTGGGTTGTCGTGTAGGTACTTGCGTGTCGACATGTCTAGCCGATGTGCTTGCGTGACGATGTGCTGTTAAATGTAATTATGTCTTGCATACAAGATACATGTGCGAATAAAACTGAAGATGAGTGTGAATGTTCTGATGTTCATATATTTTGATTGTCAGGTTACCGATCTGTTACGAATCTTGATTTATGTGTCATTTTTCATCACGAGCGACAATATAAACAAACTTTGTGGTATTCGTTCGAAAATAATTGATTTACGGTTAGCTGGGTGGTGATTTGGAGCCTATTCGATGGGGATGTGCTTGAGTGTGCGATCGACACTTTCCTGCCTGTGACGAGCGAGTGCTGTGCCGTGACGAGCGAGTGCTGTGCCGTGACGAGCGAGTGCTATGCCGTGACGAGCGAGTGCTGTGCCGTGGAGAGCGTGTGCTGTGCCGTGACGAGCGAGTGCTGTGCCGTGACGAGCGAGTGCTGTGCCGTGACGATCGTGGAGAGCGTGTGCTGTGCCGTGGGGAGCGTGTGCTGTGCCGTGGAGAGCGTGTGCTGTGCCGTGGAGAGCGTGTGCTGTGCCGTGGGGAGCGAGTGCTCTGCCGTGGCGAGCGAGTGCTGTGCCGTGGGGAGCGAGTGCTGTGCCGTGGCGAGCGAGTGCTGTGCCGTGGGGAGCGAGTGCTGTGCCGTGGCGAGCGAGTGCTGTGCCGTGGGGAGCGAGTGCTGTGCCGTGGAGAGCGAGTGCTGTGCCGTGGGGAGCGAGTGCTGTGCCGTGGAGAGCGTGTGCTGTGCCGAGCTGTGGCCGTGCAACTCTCTCAGTTGCCGCGTCTCACGCGTGTCGCAGCCACGGCCTCTGTGTGCATGAGTGAATGTGGGCGTGTGCTGGTGTGTGTGTGTGTGTGTGTGTGTTTGTGTTTTGTGTATTTGTGTGGTGTTGAAGAAAGCACGACACGATGACCGTGGTATGCGTGAGTGAATGCTGCGATGTGCGTGGCTTGAGGTTGTGCAGGTAGTGTTGTATGTTCCCTGTGCTGGTGTATGTGCTTGTGTTGTATGTTCCCTATGCTGGTGTATGTGCTTGTGTTGTATGTGCTTGTGTGTGTGCTCTATCTTGGTGTGCGTTGTAATGTACGCGCGTTATGTAAGCAGCGGTTGTTAAGTGGTCATGTTTACTCTACCAAAGTCGGTACGAGAATAAAAATTTTAAAGCGTCTTATTTTAGAAACGGTTCCCGTAAAATTATATTTATGTACGGAATATGTATATTATCATCCGCTGAAATATAATCAATTGAATCGATTTCCTACATGGTGACAGCAGCTACTCGTATCTTTTATAAGTTTATGGTTAAATTGCGCATTGATTTTGTGTCGGAACACTTGTACCTCTATGACCACTTTTTACTTGCTGCATGAGCAAGTGGACAGCTAAGTTGTCACGTGTTGGTGAAGATAGCGTGAGTGTTTCCTGCGTTGTAATCACCACAGGTGCGATTCACTCCTCCGCTTACACGTGTCGTGTCGCTCTATCAACCCACGCTACGTTGTGTGTATTTGCCTAACTCGTGTTGATAAACACTTGCACGGTCCACTCAATGTCCTCCACGTACAAACTCGTTAGCTTACTCTTTCTTTACCTTCCTTGCACATTGAATATCATTTGTTTAGTTATATCGTTTAGGACTTCCTTATAAGGTTTTTGCTAATTTGGCTTGAACTATCTAATTTTATCTAGGTTCAATTCCTAGTTTCTTTCAAAATATGATTGTCAAGATTGAATAGATGCTGGTTTTTCGCTTGTATTCATATGATGTTATATTTTCCAATGACAAACGTTATGTTTCTTCCTACTCTTTTGTTAGTTTTTTTCTAAATTTTTTGTTCCATTTGGTGTCAATGATGTAGCTATTAATTTTATTTACTTATCGTCTCTCGTTCTATAGCAGCTATAAGTTCATTAGCTTTCAATCACAAAAGCAAAAGTCTTGAGTTGTGTTGTAAATATTAGCCCCTCGACTATTTATATAGAGATCGTAGAAGTTTGGTCTCAACTCGTATGTTATTATCCTTCACATTAGATTGCTGTTTATTAATGGTATTTTTTTATTAAAGTTTAGTTTTCTTTGTGTACGTAGAGGATGGGCTGACATTGCGATGACTTTCGAAGTTGGCTTTGTTAAGTTTGTTATCAGCAACACAGCATGTGTTCAGTTCAGCGATGTTGCCAGCGCATGTGTCGTGCCGTAGTGCCTTCTGTGCTGATACTCAGCCACGTTTTTCATAACAGCTGTTGGAACATTTAACTGCTCTGCAACCTTCGACTGGTTTTCTTCGTTACTGACAGCTACGCTGTGTCTGCTTGACTGCACGGCTTTGCTGTAGTATGTCGCGAGATAATTGTCTGCTGTCGTGCAGTTGGCTGCGCCGGTCACGCTAGACGGCTTTTGTCTGCTACCGTACAGTTGGCTGCGCCGACGATGCTAGACGGCTCTTGTCTGCTACAGTACAGTTGGCTGCGCCGGTCACGTTAGACGGCTCTTGTCTGCTATCGTACAGTTGCCTGCACAAATGACGCTAAAGTGTATTCGGCTGCTGCCTGCGCTGTTAATGTTATTGGGAGATTATCTTCTTCTTGCGTAGTTGGCAGCACTGGTAACCAAAGGGCATAGACCGACTAGCCTCTGCCGCCTGCGCCGTTAGCTGTGTTGGCCACTCGCTGCCTGCTCAGTGGAGATAGACGCACTACTCAGCTGCCTGCTCAGTGGAGCTAGACGCACTACTCAGCTGCCTGCGCAGTGGAGCTAGACGCACTACACAGCTGCCTGCTCAGTGGAGATAGACGCACTACTCAGCTGCCTGCTCAGTGGAGATAGACGCACTACTCAGCTGCCTGCTCAGTGNCTCTGATGTCGGTAGTTGCGCTACTCTGCTGCCTGTGCAGTTGGCAGCTCTGATGTCGGTAGTTGCGCTACTCTGCTGCCTGTGCAGTTGGCAGCTCTGATGTCGGTAGTTGCGCTACTCTGCTTCCTGTGCAGTTGGCAGCTCTGATGTCGGTAGTCGCGCTACTCTGCTGCCTGTGCAGTTGGCAGCTCTGATGTCGGTAGTCGCGCTACTCTGCTGTCTGTGCGGCATAGTAATCGAAAATTGTGTATTTTTCTCGAGAGGAAATGATTCATTTAAGTCATATTCTTTCTGTAATGTGCATAAACCTGCTGGATGGATTGCGGAAGTCCTGTCTGTTTCTAAGTCCGAGGTTTGATATTGAATGATAATAAATGATAAATTTTTTTATTCTTTGTGCCGCGTTTATTTCCGTTTGCTGATCCGGTTTTAGTTGTTTTTTCCGGAAAACCGGTTTTCTTTACAAACAATAAATATATTTGTCAATACCTGAACACCTGTTACCGTTTGGAACGATAAGTATACTTGTCGATATCGGAAAACCGATTTTCTTTACTAATCATAACATAGAACGAAACTTTTTTCCGTTGCAACCTCGACCATTGAATTATCTTCGAAAGAACTCCTTGGGAAATTGAATTCTTTCAATTGCTTCTTGAAGCAACTAGCATAAGCTATCTAGCCATAAGTTTACGACCAAAGAAACCTGCTACGTAAGGTTGACTGACCAGTTATCAACTTTTTCCTGACCTCGTATTTTCTTAATATATTGTCCGTATTGTTGACTATTGTCCATCCCGTATTTATGACTTAATTTATTAGTTTTAACAAAAATACAGTTATTTTAATGCGGTATTTTAAATAGTTATATAATTGCTTGGAAATTTTTACGTCATTTATTTCGTAAAATCCGTTGTTTTACGTGCCACGTTTCACAAACTCGTCTGTTGACTTTTATATGGAGTTAGATTAACTAATTAGCTCACAGTATTATTTGTTTGCTCATGTTCTTCATACCATTTTACTTCTTTTTCATGTGTCACCACTCTATCTTGGATTGTGCTTGCTCAGCATGTTATGTTTCTTCTCATTTTCGGTGACCAGAGTTTATTCATTGCCTACAAGTTTGCCTCATTGAAACCTCAGTGTTTTTTGATATGATGATGTTTCGGCTTAATGAACAAACAAAAAATATTAATGGCTAGTCACAGATCCATCATTCATTCTTTTTTATTTCGTGAATCTTAATAGCCCCTGATTGGTATTTTCGCTTCCATAGTGAAAGAAACTCTACTTTCAAATGAACTTTATTTATTTTATTATCTTGGTATTGGAAATATCTTGGGAAATTTATTTTTTTATCTTGGTAGTATTGAACGAAAATCAAATTTGTGTTTGATTGTTAGATTTTAAATGTATTGTTAGTTATTTTAAATACTTTTTATTGATAAATACTTTTTATTGAATTATTTTATGGATTGTTTGATTGTTAGTTTTTTTAAATATTTTTTTGTTCTGTTGTTTGCTCTTTATTTCTTCATGTACCGTATATTGTTATAATACACGGTGCCCAATTACTGAAAAAGCTGCAATTCCGTTCAAAAGCTCGTTTGTTGAGGTTAACATTCATGAGAATAATTTTTGACTGCATTTTTAATATGAATCATTTTTTTCAGGCGCCGTAAAGAGTGTCACCGCAAAATCAGCAAACAACGAAAAAAGTTCACAGAAGAAATCTTCTCTCAAAAAAGTTCTACGGCTGGACGGACTTTCTGCAACCCAAACATTACCTAAGGGAATATCAATTTCGAGCGTTAGTCAGGACACAAGTTCGCCATCATCTGCTGCAAGCTTAGAAAATTCGGAAGACGAGCAGCAATCATTTACTGGATTCACAAGCGGATTGCCTGCGCACCTCTTGAAGTCCATTTCAGTGTCAGGGGCATCTGTAACGTCTTTAATCGCCAAACCCACTGAAAGTAACACCGAACGTGAAGATTCTGTAGATTTTGCTCAGCAGTGGCTGAAGAAACGACAGCAGCAGCTTCAAGTCAAAAGGGCTCGAGAAAGTGAAGACGAATTAGACGACGAAGAATATTACGAAAGGGATAATTCAAAACAAGGAAATAGCTCACCGAATTTACAACAAGAAAAGCAAGAGGAGCTTATCCGACGAATAAAGCAGCAGAACTTGGCTGCAAAAGAGGAGTCAAAGGTTAGCACCAACGACTTGCTCCTAAAATACTCGGGCATCACTTTATCTAACGCAGGCAGCTCTATCGCCGGAACAGAAAGCTCTAGCATCATAAAACCTGAATCTAGTTCAATTAAGAGCTCTAGCAATTCAGTATCTATTTCAGGAGGCACTGCCGGTATTTCTCTGCCAGCAGGCTTAGGATGCTCCATCTCATTTAAAAGCGTCACCGACTCTAAGTCAAAGGATTTTGAATCTGAAGAAGAATCAGATCTTGACGAACTTGATAATAATAGCTCGTATCTGCCTGAGTTGAAACAAACTACAGCCAACGCTAATACTCGTATTGAAGCTTTCAAAGACTTGAATTCGTCGGTTACTTTTTCTAATTCAAGTGTTGGTAGTGCAAGCATTTCCTCCGATTCTATCTCTAGATTTCGAGCAAGCGACTTGATCGCCGAACAATCGCGTATCATTCCAAGTGTATCTTCACTAATTGGATCTTCCTCTATCTCCATCGAACCCTCGACCAGCTTCAGCAAAGAGAGCACATTCACGATCACAGACACTGACTCCGTAAGCAATTCCGTTCAGAGCTCTCGACGCTGCTTGGAGTGCAATGCCGTGTTTGAGAATGGGGCTAAACTTCGCCTGCATATCCTCAGTTCTCACTCTGCCCGTCCTGCGTCTTCAGATGTCGCTAGTAGCGTTGCTGAATCTTCGACTGGTGACAAAGACAACGTAAGACCTTGTGTAACAAAGCCTGCTCACTTTATTAAGTGTTCTGTGTGCCATTTACCTTTTACCAACACTTATTATTTACAGAAACACAGAATTGAAGTTCACTCTTTGCCAAAACCTTCAAATAACGGTGAGAGTGACGAAGCTGTTCCTAGAGTTAAGCCAAGACCGTTTAAACTCGTGTGGAGGTGTCGTAGGTGTAGTATCAAACGTTTTAGCACCTTTAGGTTATTTGAGAGTCATCACTTGGCGCACATCAAAGCTGTTAATGCTGGCATCCGTTTGGAAAAACTCTCTCCAGCTGAAGTACAAAAGTTTACGGGTGTTGGTCCTAAAGTAAAGAAGCAGTTAACTGGTAGGAAAAAGGGCAGAAAACCAAACGTCAAGAGGGCTAAAGGTTATGATAGTGACGCTGATTTTACAGTAGCAGGTGCCAAACTTAAGCTTACCATCACTCAGCCTCGCGAAGGCTCCAACAGGCGCAATAAAAGATCAAGTTTCTTCACCTCTGCTATGAGTCATCTGTTAGCCGACAGTGACGGTGAGGGATTCGAAGGAGAATTTGAAGAAGATTTACCTGATCTGCATACTTTACCGACTGGTCGGGCTCTACCTAGTGCTGCAAATAAGAGTTTAGACTCCCTGTCTGGACCAACAAGTGGTCAAGAATTCATGAGGATTGAGGCCAGCGAGGGCACGGAACAATATAACAAAACGCGTGAAGAATCTCCAGGTGGCACGCATACCGGAGAGGCAGGAACTCCCGACGAAGGCTTTGACGACAACCCTGACGATCCTGAAAGTATTGGCAGTGTACCTGAGACCAGCATGGGTCACTCAGATTCGAGCAACTTCGGTGATGAAACTTCAGCCGGTGCTGGTGCTGCTGACGCCAGGCAGCAGTCACCTGTATATGATGATTCGGGAAACCTGCAGAGCGAGCACATTACTGACAAGTCAAGTGGTAACGGAGAATTCGATAACGCCTTCAATAACCCGGCTAACTTGAACTTCGATAATGAGTCGGAAGGCGAACGACCGCCTTCAACTTATCAGCCACAATTTGAATCATTCACTGGAGATTGGTTTCAAGAATATGAGTCAGGACCGCGCATTGCCGCGGCTATGGCTGGTACTGGTGCCGAAGGAGAAAGTTCTGAAAACTCTAAGTGGGCTGAAGGGAATCACGTTAACGAACCTGAGGCCAGCCAGGAAATTACTGAGAGTGGAGAACTCCAAGAATCGGAAGGAACCCAACAAAGGCCGACCGATCGGAATGGTCTTTTTAGCCAGGCAGTGCTGGGGAACGAAAATAGTGCAGCCGGAGGTAATGGCCGAGGTGTTAGTGGTGGAAGCTTCGAGCAACTCTGTCTTAATGATTCCTTCAACCAAGATCAACAATCTCAAAATGAACGAACAACCGAAGTTATTCAAGAGAGTCACGCGGAAGGTGGTCAGCAGGATTTGTTGTCAGAGCTTGAGTATTTAAACAGAGGCGGCCAATCTACTAATGACAGTGGCCTAAGCGGGGATAATTCACGTGACTCTCAGTCATCGCATGTAAACACTTCGCGTCCAGGTTCGAATTCAAGCTGCCAGTCGGGTGGCCACCCAACTCCACCGCCAGATACATCCTTCCGTTCCTTAGCATCTAGTCCCCTGCAGGCGCCAAATTCTCCATCGATTGGATCATCTGTTCTCTCTGGCGGCACTACTTCACCCATGCAGGGTGTGTCCCTCGCCCAAACATCTTCCTCTCATCTTGCCGGTGCTTCTCAAATGGTCGGATCTCCTCACATAGCTGGGTCGCCTCACATGACTGGATCGCCTCACATGGGTGGTTCACCAAGTTTGGGGGGATCACCACGATCAATGACAGGTTCCCCACATCTTGCCGGCTCGCCTCAACTTGCTGGTTCGCCGTTATCTCAGACTCAAAGTCTACAGAATCAACTGCAAACGCCTCCAGAAGCCCGACTGACAATCGCAAATAATTTGATGGCAAGCTCAGGCTTGAATGGTAATATTCCTAATTTAGCAACTAGCACCAGCCTTTTGACCAATACTTTTAATCAGTGGCCATCAGTTGCCACAACATCCAGCTATTCAGGTTCTTTCTTGAGTAGCAACGGTTTTGATGGAGCAATGAGGGCCCCAATGCCTCCTGGTGTATCTGTTCCCTATCGTCCGTCACCTCCTCCTCGCGTAAGAGGCCGACCGCCACTCATCGGTCACGGTGGGCGGCCGCCTACGATGAGAGGTCCTGGCCGACCGTTGGGCTCAAGTATTCTGCCTCCTCCGCTCATGCCTGCACCCGGTGGGCGTGGGTCGATGATGCCTTCCCTGACACGATTACCGGGCTACAATTCTCAGCCACGTGGAGGGTCGCACATGTCTGGCCAAAAACGTCATTTACCTGGACAGCAAACCGGACTTTCCCCAAGTAAATCTCAGAGAAGAGATGATATTAACGTGCCATCAAGGCAAAAAGACAATGAATGCCAAATAATTGCTGTAGCCAATCGTGGTGATGGCTTACCAGTCATCTCAAATGTGCAAGGTGGTAGGGAAGAACGAAGGCAATCCCAACCAACTGGAAACGGCGGTGGCGGTGTGGGAAGCGGGGAGTCCACTATTCACCTCAGCGACTCGATCACTCTGAGTGTGCGATCGTCTAGTGCCAACAAAGAGCCCGCCAGAGGTGAAAGGTCAGGTGACGCAGGCACTGTTGCTAACTTATTAGCGTCTAGAGGGATCACGGTTACCCCGGCTGCTGGCGATAAAAACGATGGAGGTCGTGACGAGAGAAGAATACCGACTGCGAGTGATTTGAATCTTTCGTCGGCAATATCCGTGCACCCTCCGACCTCTCGAGACCGTGACGGTTTTGCGGTGCCACAAGCGCCGAGCACTCGCAATATCTCATCCAATCGTGAAATAGAAAGACCACCACGACCACCGACAGTTGATCTTACTCGTGATGTAAACCCAACTGGAGCTCAACCAAATAGAGTTAAATGTTCTCAGTGTGACCGATCATTCTCTAACCAGGCCTTGCTCGCCGATCATGCTAAAGTTCACCAGCAGGCGTCTTCTGCACGCATGCCGTACAAATGCCATCTCTGCACTGCAGGATTTTCTACGCAGAAGGGCCAGCAACACCATTACCAGCAATTTCATCAGCTTCACTTATCAACAAACGACGTTGCAATCCCAGTGGTGGATTTACGCAATCCTGTTAACGTTCAACGCATGGCGGCTCTCGGAGTGCGATCATTCTTACCGCTCACAAACCTACAAAATCGAGGAGGCGGTGGTATTGTCGGAATTCCTTTATTGACGTTAGAGAATTTGCGTAATGGTCAGATGACGTTACAACAATGGGGAGTTAATGATGTCCTTACACTGGGTCCGCCTAAGACCCTCAATATGCCTAGATGACGGTCACCCGCTGGACCCCAGATCGGGTCCAGCGGTGTCCAAGGAAGCATTAGGCATCCTGGGGTTGGGCTCCCTAACCGCCATCCTGCCCCTTAAAACGTCATCTAATTAATGACGACTTAATCTTAGCATTGATGCACATACAAATACTCATGATTACGATTAGAGTGTAAATCTTGTTACCAGACATCATGCCTCCATAGTATATTAAATCCTTTATTGTTCTAATCACGACATCAAATCAAGCATCAATTTTGATTCATTGCATTGTGCCCAAAATTTCCCAAATGATTTGATTCGATATCTTCCTCTCCTCTTCGAGTATTAATTTCGTTCTGCTCGAACGATTGTAATCATTAATCAAGCTTATTTTCCATTCTTACTGGTGATGAAAGGAAGACTAGTTGCAAGTTAGGAATATTATCGCGCATGAGCTCACTTTATATGATATGGTGCACCAAACAGTTTGCGATTGTCAGGAGTGGCGTCTGCATCTAGGCGTTAAATCTCGTTATTCATTAATAAATAATAATAGCCACGGATACTTCGTTTCTTAGTTTCCTGGCGATATTAAAAGGAATATGCGCGTGTGTCTTTTGTAGTTATTGCAAATAAACGTATTATTTTTCTACTAGTGATTAGTACGTAATGTATTCTATGCAGTTTTTTGTGCGCAATATATGTTCTTCTCTCCCCACCTTATAGTTGATGGTAGCCGTCTCGTCTGCTGTTATTATTATGGATGTATTTAAATTTTGTATGTAACGACTAACGTGGGGGTGTAAAATGACTGAACTATCTTATTTAATAGCCAAGTCGATGTAACGGATTAAGATTTATACAAAATCAATGTTTAAGCCTTGTCAGTTGTGTCTGGCACTCGTATGTGTACGCTGTTGTACATTGTTAGTCGAGTGTTATTCTTAACTTTCACGTTCGATGATTCTTTTACTTTGATGTGTGTATTTTGATGACGGGAAGCATATAGCTAAATCATTCATTCAAATCATAACATCGTTTTTTTAGAGGATAAGTATTTCAGTTTCAGTTGCTATGTCTACTTTCATATTTTTTATACGACAGGAACGTAAAATTTAGTTATATTTTACCAATGAGTAGCCAGTTCTGATCAGCCAGTTCAAACGATGCCATTTCAATCGTGCTCCTATTTTCATATTTCTCTGGAAACAGATTAACCTAATAGTTGGATAATGTGGTATATTGCAATCGAACAACAAAAAAGCTTATGCTCTGGCAATGGCAGCTGGATGGTAGAATTTTATTTTGCTGGCGAACCTTTTCTTTATTGAAGCGGTACTGATTTGTTTCATGCCATTTGATGTTTTAGTTGTTCAATCACTTATGTGAATAAGATGACGGAAGTTATGAACGACTATCTGTAACCTCTCGTCTCAGTGTTATGTAGAAATTAATCAAAAATATCTATGGTTTATGGAAAAAATGTATTTGTAATCGGGTTAAATTCAGCCCGTTGCAATCGGAATACTATCTAATTCAATGAATCAAGCCAAAATTGATATATTTAGTGAACGCCTAAGTAAAACAGATTTTTCGTCTTGCCTTCTCTATTTTGTCAATCAGATCATTTGCAGATTTGCGAAGTGTGGACGTTAAAGGATTGCGAATTAGTTCAGCAAATAGTGATTAATAATAAGATAGACATTACCAGCTACAAATAATGACCTGGAACATTATCAAAATAGAAGCCCTGATGGCAGCTGGAGAGCTTTAGTCTTCACTTTCATGGATTGAATAATGCCTTTCTCAGCATGTAGACATTGCGAGATTGGTAGTTTCTCCTTAGCTTAACATTTTGCGTATATGTACCGTAGTCGACTTCGTGAGACTTGGTGGCTGAGGGAGCAACAGCAGTTGAAACGCTCCCCGATGCTACGGTTGCAATAGTGGAAAAATTGCAACGATTGGCAGGGTTTTTTTACTTTCATTCTTTTACATCGCTAAGGTTAATCATACATTTGAATTTAAATTAAATGTCGTTTAAAATGAGCAAACCCCGTACAAATGACCGAGCAAGCACCTAACGCTAATCATATTTCTACCATTCATCATTCAATCTTACATGGGTGGAATAAGTGAGATGTTGATATCGAACCCTACCATGAAGTTATGATACCTCCTAATTGTCAAGATGTTGAGGAAGTCCATTGAAACTTATTTGGGCTTGGTTTCCTGGTCTGTGACGCGTCTGATGTAGATGGAATTCTCTGGTATGTTTGGAATTTCGCCTTTCTCGTACAAATACGAGCACGCAATGGCCAGCGTGTTGCCTGTAATACAAACGTGAGATAATTGAAACTAGCTCTTATAGATTATGAATATAAATAATCAAGTCACAAAATTATTGCTTTAAAAAATATTTTTAAAATTATTCCAATAGCCATCCTTATTTACTATTTTTGAGGAATAGGTAACATAAAATATTTTTCATTTACAGGAAGTAAATAACTCTATAGCAACTTACGAAATGGCAGGCAGTTATGAATTCTGAAAGAACCTCCTATGCAAAGCTAATAATATTTTCATAGAATGACAATATAAATAACAAAAAATGATCATTTTATTTGTTATGCTCTTAATTGGCTCAGGAAACGCAGTACTCACCGTCATGGGAGAAGGCGAGGGAAGAGATGGAGGTCGGGTATCTATGGAACTGACACAACCTCTTCTTGTTAAAACCGTCCCAGATGTTGACGTAGCCATCGGACCCACCCGTAGCAAATGTATTGTAACCGCTGTGGAAGCTGCAATAACGCAAGTTTCGAACATCAGTCACATGCAACTTATGAGTTTGGTTAAAAATTATTACAAATACTTGATAAAAGAATCGTTATTAGTAATACTTAATAAACGAAAACCATGTTACACCTTCCCCTATTTCAAACTAATATTCGCTAGACTAAAGAAATGACTTTTGATAATTGGTAGACAATGATAACAGACTCCGTAGTCATTATCTGTACAGCAATGGGCTAATTGACATAATGATCATCGCAAGATAGCTGCTAGCATTTATTGCCATTTATTAACGAGACTACGATCAGTCAGAAAGAGAAAATTTCAACAGAGAAAAATCAACAACCTGATATCATTGACGGGGTGGATTATCTCAATTCCTTCTTCTTTCATGCGGTGACATTTAAACGCATACTTCTTCTTCTGCACCTCGGGACTTGGGTCCAAATACTCGACAGCCACACGACCTTCCACGCTAGAGACTACGTAGCCCTGAGAAGTTGCAAACACGAGTTAAAGTACTTCCGAGTGTACCGTTACTCAAAACGAACAACAAGTGTTCTAAGACTGGAAAAAAATTGGAGTCACATTCATAGATATCACTCAACACATCACAAGAGATAAGATGTGTACCTACTGTATTAGAATTTGAAAATGGATGTGATTACTATACATGCAACTAAAAACTTTAAAAAAATTAATCAAAACACGGAACTTACTAAAAGAAAAATTCATGAACAACTAGAACTTGTAAGTAGAGTCAGTTCCACAAAATTGTTACAGAGCTGCTGTACTGAATTTTGAAGGCAGGCACCAGTAATTAGTGTTTAGTGGAGCAATATAGGGAAACATCAACGATAATTGCTGATTACGTGACTGAAGTAAGGCAATATTGTATAACGCCGGAGATAAGTGCTTGTTACGTCAGAGTAATAAGGCAGTGTAGGAAAATATTTAAGAAGAGAGCTCGTTACTTGTGTGCTGAAAGCCAAAACGAACACAAACAGTTGTCACAGGTTAACATGTTGCAAATAGAATATTTAAAGACAGAACTAACAATCGCCAGTACAGATAGCATTGACAGATACCAGAGAGACTCAGACCTGCTTGTTGGGGAAGCACCTAATACAGCGCGTCTGATACTTGAGGGAAGAGTCTCGCCTCATCTGAGGGTGAGCCATGTTGCGCAAGTCCCAGATGAGCACGCGCCTGTTGGCAGTACCAACCACCACACGGTCGCCGCACATGCCCATCGTGTACACCTGCATGAATCATATATTAAAAGCTATATGATTATCAACACTTCCACACAACTTCAATTACATGCGTAGTGCCTGCAAGCTACAGCAATGTTTCATATTTTTGGGTAAAAAGAATAGCCTCAAAATTAAGCAATATTTTAGCAAACTTTCATTCAAACAAAGCTTTCTGTTGACATTAATGCTTAAAATAGTAGTTCTTAAGTAGCTGGAGTCTTTCAGGAAGCAAGTGTCACCTTATAATTCTGCTGGTGAGTCCCAACTTCTCGTTGCTGTCTGGGATCCCACACCTTGATTGTGTTGTCCCACGAGCCAGTCACTACAACATTGACATCGTTGCTGAACTCCACGCATCTATAAAAAATATAACTCAGTACTCACAGCAGTGAGTGACAGAGAGCGTATTTTCTCGTCGACGAAAACTTGAGGTCACGGACAGACAGACGGACATGGCGAGCACAATAGTGCACATTTTCCATAAATGAAAAAATGTGCTAAAAATAATGATTTTTACATGTTTCCCCTATATCAAACACTCATATGTTAGTTCAAGTTTAGTTGATGCAATCATTGTGAATGAATAAAAATTAGGTGCATTTTGGAAATGTGCAAAGAGTACAGCTTATAAATAAATAAACATGTCACTTGCTAATATCCATAATGTTTGCAAGAAAGGCATAATGTCAATATTAATGAGAGTGAACAGACAATTTGGAAAAGAAGATTATACATTTTTTTTTCAACACCTGAAAACACTTTAAAATGAATCAATCCAAGACTGATGTAAGAAACTACATCAGTCCGTCTATTAATTTTATCAGCAATCAATAAAAGGAAACAGACTTGGGAGAGGTCTTGAGCTATACACATCAAGCCCAAGTTTCTGATATTGACCAAAAAATTCTAACATATAACTTACCTGATGGCAGAGTCATGGCTGCCAAGCACAGCCTCTGCATTGGTGTTCAGGTCAAATGTTTTGAGCTGATTATCCAGTCCACCACTGAAGACATGCACAGCATCCTGTAATATATTAATTTTTTATGAATACCCTTGTGTATGAAGATATTTTCTGTATCATTATGGTACAAATTCAAATTATGGTCAACAATTTCAAGACCAAAAGAATAGGAATTCATGAAATTTACAGTACAATTTTTCAAGGTTAAATTATAATGAAAAAATTGTGATGTCAACCTAAAATAAAATAAAAATTATGAACCTCCTTGTTAAAAATGGGAATGGAAAATTATGAGAAAATTTCAAGGCACACACAAATTAGTTGATAGATAGCATACCTGGAAACAGCAGTCAAGCACTGCAGCTGAGTGCTGGTATTGCAGTCTCATATGATTCCCAACAAGATCATATAACCGGACAGTCTTGTCCCAGGAAGCCACTAACAAAAATTGTGATGAATTTGGGCTAAACTTTACACTTTGAACACAGTCTCCTGGTGAATTTTTCAAACGAAACTCAATCCTTGGTTCTATCATTTTGACTGACTTGGAGGGATAAAATTGGATAATATAACCAGTCACTAACCTAAAAGAAAGAGTACATAGATCTTAATAAATATAGAATATTCAACACCGGCAAGCCATTTTTGATTTCTTGATTCTTACGATACATCCATGACAATTAATGCATATAGACCATATATCAATCGCCATGCGTCTGTGCTGATCATAGCGCATTGCCATATAAATTGTAATGTGTGTACCGTAAACTGGGGTAACTTAGACCACTTTTTACTTAAATGATGCCATTTTTTTACTAGATAAGTTAAACTTAAATTGAAACATGCAAAATACAGGTCTATACTCTAGCTTCACTCACCATAAATTGCTGGCTCCTGCCTCTCATAGTTTTGATGTAATTTAAAAAAAATCGATGGTCTTTTTTACCCCAGCTCTGAGGGTATCTTAGACTGTTTGGTAAAATCAATTATATTTTTTGGTAAATAACTCCAAATAACTCTGGGTTTTGGTGCATTGTAGTAGAACTCTTCTAGTTACATATGCAAATGACAAATTTGAGGAAAGTTTCATAGTTTGCAAATGGGGGGTCCTGCCCCCCAGGTGGTCTAAGTTCCCCTAAATGGGAGAACTCTGACCACCTAATGGCAGCCCTGACAGGGTTAACATAGACCGGCTTGGAAATTAAGATAAATTACCATATTTAAGACTCTGTAGAGTCTGAAATCTAAAGAAAAACATTAATAGGTGTATCAAACATGAAATGTTATATATGGTAATTTAAAATTAATTTTCAAGCTGGTCTATGTTACCCTGTCAGGGCTGACATTAGGTGGTCTAAGTTCCCCCATTGGGGGGCGGCGCCCCCCATTTGCAAACTATGACACTTTCCTAAAATTTGTTTGTTGCAAATGTAACTAGAAGAGTTGTACTACAATGCATCAAAACCTGGAGTTATTATGCCAAAAAATAAAAAAATTGGAGAGGGTACTCTGACAGGCTTTAAATAATAGCTTTTTTTCATGGGTCACATTTTTAATTTTTTAACCTATTAGATATGCAAACTTTTTAAATCTTTCTATTGTGTTACGTAGCCTCAGTATTAGGCCTTTAATGCCCATTGACAGAATTTTTCTATGTCAATTCGTTTTTGAGTTTTGGGGGTTTTTGTTAAAAAAACAAAAAGTGGTCTAAGTTACCCCGGGAGTCTAAGTTACCCCGGGAGTCTAAGTTACCCCAGTTTACGGTATGTCTGTGCCAATTCAAACTGGAAAATTGGTCAGAAGCCACCAATGAATTGGAAAAAATGCAGATGAATCTGGCCAATTTCAGCCATTCCAATGTTCCTTCCTTAATTTCCCAGTGAAAAATAAGAAAAAGCCTTTTTTCATCAGGAATTTTTAAAAATCACATGTGAAACAATCTTTCTACCTGCAATTTCAGGAAAATATAGCTTGATTTTCCACACAGAGTAGAAATCAGCATGCATCAGCCATTTTGATTGCAATGCACATAGGGTAAACGCACCACATTCTGACACTGTGGGTAATTCCGACACTGTTGAACTTTTTTCTTTATATTAAGCTTTGTCTTAGTTCCACGCATGCGCAGATGGTTAAAATAGTGACGTCATACTATTGCACGCAATATTTCCCCAAAACACTAGGTCTGGCGGGAAGATGTTAAGATCCGCAGAGCAAAACTCCACGTCACCCAGTCAGAACATCGAAACACGTGTGAAAGTTGATAGTTGACCTTGTTCTACCAAATAGTGATAAACTGTTTGTGTAGAAAGAATATTATGGTTTGAGATTTTTAAATAAGTCTGTGAATATATTAGGAATCCTTTATGTATACTTGTATTTGCTGATTTTAAGTGGTAAACAAATTAATAGATGATTGATTTAAGAGACAGTTTTAGACACATAAAAACTAATTCTGACATGGTGTCGGAATCACGACACACAGCCGTGTGTCACATTCCAACACAGCTCACACAGGGTGTCGGAATTCCAACATACTGTCTTGGAATTACAAATTATGATTTTGAAGCGCTGTCAGAATTAGTCTCACAATGTGCCGCATTTTGTCACACACGTGTCGGAATTCAGCGATTTTGTATATTTGAATTCTGAAGGCTTTTAAATAAATATGGCAACAATTTGTGATGTTTGATCATTGCTGGTGCATAGTGTGGTGTTGTGAGAGTGACGTAAAATTGTAAACCCATCGGAACTCGAGTTGCGCATACGGCAATCTATTTATAGCCATTTATTTCTTGCTACGTCCTTAAGGTGTCAGAATATGGTGTGTTTACCTTATATTTGAAAGGTAAATGTGTAGGCCAGATTTTCTGAAGACATAGGGTAAACGCGGTATATTCTGACACATTAAGGATGTAGCAAGAAATGAATGGCTATAAAAATATCACCGTATGCACAACTCGAGTTCTGAATGCTTTATGTCATTCTCAAAACAGCACACTATGCACCAGCAACGATGAAATGTCACAAACTGTTGCCATACTTATTTAAAAGCCTTTAGAATTCAAACCTACCAAATCCCTGAATTCCGACGCTGTGTGTGACTAAATTTGGCATATTGTGAGACTAATTCTGGCAGCGCTTCAATTCAAACTCTATTAATTTTTAATTACGGCACCATGTGTTCGAATAACGACGCCCTGTGTAAGCTGTATCAGAATACAACACAGCTTGGAACAAGCTTGATTAAAAAATTTCAATTTTTTAATTAAGCTTTTAATTAAGAGCTATTAAGCTTTTAATTAAGAAAATTTTAATTTTTGGACACAGCTCAGTTGGAGCTGTGTGTGTCTAATTCCAAGCTGTGTCAGAATTAGTTTTTATGTGTCTAAACCCGTCGCTTAACTTAATCATCTATTAATTTATTTACCACTTGAAATCAGCAAATTCAAGTACACTTAGAGGATTCCTAATATATGCACAGGCTTATTTAAAAATCTCAAAACAGTTAATCACTATTTGGTAGAGAAAGGTCAACTATCAACTTTACCACATGTTTCGATGTTCTCACTAGTTGACTTGGACTTTCCCTCTGAGGATCTTAACATTTTCCAGCCAGACCTAGTGTTTTGCGGGAATCTGGCTGTTTCTGGCACGCAATAGTATGACATCACTATTTTAACCATCAACAAATGAGTGGAACTAAGAAAAAGCTTAACCCTTTACGCCCTAGCCTGACGAATTTGTCACACAGAAAAAAACATCGGTTTTCCAACAATTTCACGTTTTCTGTCATTTTTTCGAAAAATTCACACAAATAAAAAAGTCTTAGATTTATTTTTTACATATGTGTACCAAGTTTCAAAGTTATCTGTCGGTAAGTAACCGAAATAAAATTTCCAATTTCCAATGGCAATGTCCAATTTCTTATGGAAATTGTGCCCGACCAGTAATTTTCGCCCATATTAAATGTTAAAGAACTCCCCCACCCCTAACCCTTTCACGAACTGTCGTCAAAGTGAGCATGTGATATTTGTGAGCATTTGAGCATGTGATTATTTGATTTGATATTTGAAGTGAGACTTAAAACAGAAAGTGAATTTTACGATTTTCATCCCAGAAATTCAGGGCGTAAAGGGTTAATATAAAGGAAAAAAGTTGAGAAGTGTTGGAATTACCCACGTCGTCTGTCCCACGATGTCGGAATATACCGTGTTTACCCTAAATTTTACAATTGACGCATTGCCAAATATCTTTAGGTACCTACTTGCCAACTTTCTGTATTATTTCTGGCTTTGAAGCAGTGCTTCAAACTTTCACCTGATTCTATGGCTCTTGACTGATTTCTTTAAAAAAATACAAACCAAACCTTTTTGTCTGGAATTTTTGATGGAAATTAAAAATGAACTGATTCCAAAAAAGCTCTGGTTTGCCACTATGCTGACGCGTAGTGGAGTGTTTTGAGAGTCATGTGAAGGCAACAGAACTCACGTAATGCATACGTTTTTTTTTATAGTTTTTCATTTCTCAATGCGTCCTTAATGTGTCGGAATATACCGCATTTACCCTAAAACAGTAAAATGACAGTTTGTACCTGCAAGTTTTGGAAAATTCTTATAAATTTTCCAGATTGGCCACAATGTAGCATGGAATTAACTCATCATTCAATAATCAATTATAATTTTACATAGGCTATCCTGCAAAATTATTGGAAGTTATTATAATGTCAAATTGTCAATGACACTGTTTTGTCACAGCACGCATAAGACCTAACTGGAACTGGATCTGGAAGAAATAGAAATTACTTATATTAGAATTAGATGTATTAGCTAGCCTAATATGTCTGTTCAAACTTTTGTTTTAAGCTTTTTATGTGAGAAATTACCACTAGCACTAGGTAATTCCACAGAATTTCCAAAATAATAATTTAAATATAGTAATTGAACTCTCATGGAATGCAATCAAACAAAAAAAAAATTAACTGGATCTTGCCACAATGCCATTGCCATCATGCCATGCTAGTATGGAATATATCTACTTGGCGAGCCGCGACTGAATTTTGCGAGCAGTGGTTTTATGGATTTGCCAGCCGTGATTCCATTTCTACAGCCGTGATTCTATTTCACCGAGCCGTGAATTCCATATCTCGGCCATGAAAAGTCATTTACGAGGTGCGAATGCAAATTTATTTACAAAGTTTATGCACGTGTTACCCCAAATCTCTAATTTTACCCTTAAACAGTCAAACGGCAACGATAAAATTTGTCTCTACTGTAAGTTCAGCACGTGTTAATATACAGTCTGACCGCTTTGACATGACTGCAACTATGCGCGATCTTCAACAAACGTTTTGTTTATTTGTTTACATTACGATGTTTATGTTTTATCTGCAAGATATTTTTGGCGGAAACGGTAAAGCAATGCGGATTGCGGAAGTTGAAAATTTTATGAAATGACATGTTTGCGAAGTGCAAACCGCGATTTTTTAATCAAACAAAAATTTATGACATTCGAGCCGCGAGATTTCATACCTACTGAAATTATATGATATTAGAGCCGCGATATTTCAGACAAAAATAGGACTTTTCCAGACTAAATTAGAGCCGCGATATTTCAGACAAAAATAGGACTTTTCCAGACTAGATGCCATGTGATTGTGATTTGTGACCCACTGAATGGCACTGATCATGACTGATGCACTGAATATGAATGGCCATATTTCTATGAATTAAAAAATAAAAAAGTGTCCATCAAATGTCAACAGTTATCAAGCAAATGTCAGACCGACTCTGCCGCATTTGTCAACATTGAAGTACCTACTAAGGAAGTAAGGATGCTCTAGAACCGGGGTCACCAAACTTTTTTCACAGTGGGGAGTCACTGGGGACTGGGGACTGTGGGGAGTGGGCCGGATTATCATTATGCCTTGCAGTTTTGAATCAATGGCCACATAATTGTGCTCAACTCGTGCGCTATTTCTAGTATGGAGTAACCAAGCGTCGCAAGCGATTGGTTTGTGTTGAATTTTGTTGCCCTCATTGTGGCACGTTGAAAATTGGCAACGTGAGTTGCCTCTCAAAAGTGGCAAGTATCGGAACAGACTACAGACACGAGTCCCCATTCCCAAATTTAGCAATTTCAAAACAAACCACAGTATATTGCAGGTATAGTAGCTTTTAACATAAAAGATACCCCAAAAATTACACTTGAGATATTCATTCCTTAGCTAAGCACTCATCTAAGCCTGTAGGACCTGTAGAACAACGAATAAAAATTGTTCATTGTATGAATATTTTGCATTCTAAATTATCATCTATTGAAAAAAGTTTATGGACACATATATGTCAGTGAATTTGGGGAAGCCTAAATTAGGTATATTGATGTGAATTCAAATTTGTAGTCGCAAAAGCCGATACTTTTCTTTTTACGATCATCTAACACATTATGTACGAGCAGTTTCTAACATTGGTTCTTTTAGTTACCAAATGGCACCTGCATGGCAACAGGCCATGGGCCTATTTCTTCAGTGCCGACACTTCTATTCTATTAATTCAGCGCTGAAAAGTGAACTGTGAAGTTCCGCGTCCTTCGAATAATGGTTTCTGGTAGTGGTATTTCAACAATAAATTTTCCTTGCGCCCGAGTCCGTGGTCGATCCATGTGAACGATCAACTCGTGAGACACGTTTAGGTAGGTAGCGCAGCCGTGCACCACCAATTTTGTGCACCAATAAGCCCTGGATACTAGTGAATAGAACACCTTGGATCTCTCTGGACATCCACCAATCAGCCGTGAACCACTCGGCTTTGCCTTCCTCCGGCCTCGCGTAGAACCAGCTGTGCAGTGTGCACCACGGGTCGCCTGCCGAAGACCACCACTGCCCTGGATGTAATGGACCATCATGATTCCTGCCTTCCGGAACGTAGCCTTCAATACAGAACTATGCTATCTGAAACCTAACCTCAGATGCGGTGAACGTAAAATTACGTAATTTAGCGATGTCTGGAAGTCATATTCGATCCGCGGCCTGCTGGTGCACGGCAGGTGGTGGTCAAGACCGGAAGAGGACGAAGCCGAGTGGTGCACGGCTGATTGGTGTGGGTACGGAGAGATCCAAGGCGTTCGATTCTGGGCTTATTGGTGCACAAAATTGGTGGTGCACGGCTGCGCACCCGGTTCGACCCACGGCCTAGATACGGACGGCTTGAAGTGTGGAAGGCTACGTTCTGGAAGGCAGGAATCATGATGGTCCATTACATCCAGGGCAGTGGTGGTCTTCAGCAGGCGACCCGTTTAGGTAAAAGTGGGGACCGGCCGCAAGTCCGACCGTAAAATTGTCCGAGACGTAGGTAAAAGTCATATGGAATAAAATTTAGATAACTCGTCGACCAGAAGGGTACGCAGCCGTGCACCACTAAATTTGTGCACCAATCAGCCTTGAAAAGAACGCCAAGCATATTTCCGGATGTCCACCAATCAGCCGCGGATTAATTAAGCCATCCGTCGGTAACCAGCCCGTGACATCAACTTGCTTTAAATATTAGGAGCTTTACGCCACCACAGTTTGAAGCGAATAGCCCAGAGAATAATGGTTATGCACCACTGAACGTTGCATCGAATCATCACTTCATACCCTGACTTTAGCTCGAACTGTAACTTGCGGACAACGGACTGCGACCAACCAGCCCAGGTCGCCAGTGGAACTGCATGCATCCTGCCGTGCACCACCAGACCGTCACTTTCAGCTCAACATCCGGAGCTAGGTTTCAGAAAGCATAGTTCTATTCCAAACTCTATCGTCCGCCGGCGAGTGACTTCCGCAGCTTCGCTAAATTACGTAACTTTTAGCTCACAGCATCTGGGGTTAGGTTCCAGATAGCATGGTTCTGTTCCAAAATTTATTGACGTACGACGCGTGGCCGTTCGACCGTGGGCTGATTCGACACACGGGACAGATACGGACGGCTCCAGCGCGCTCCGTCCGGGTGGTGTAAATTTTTTTCGCGTATTAGCAGACGACGCTGGGCCATACGACGCCAGGCTTTTTTTCCTGTGGGCTGATTGATCTAATTCAATGGATCTGATCTGTCTGGTGGCGTGCGGCTGATAATGTTACAGTCAAGATGTGTTGTAAGCTACGTTCTTCAGGGAAGGGATTATGATAGTCCATTCGAAGCACGGCCGTGGTGGTCTCCGACAGGCGTCCCGACCAGAAGAGTTCGCCTTCATTGCCGTATGATTTTCCTCGAATCACACACTCAAAATTTCATTCTTGCCGATGTGGAAGAAAATCTCCGATTAAATCGCGATATTTTCACCGTGGCACCGCGCTTGTTAACCCCAAATATTAGGAGCAGTAATCATAATCGACCAAATTGAGCATCAAACTGCAATTGAAGACACTTTTTTAAATTTGACGATGATTTTGAGCACTACAGTTGCGCATAATATTTTATAACTCAGCTGGAAGGGTGACGCAAGTTCGACGCTTAATTTTACAGTATCGTAGGATGGTTTTCAAGAGTTTCACATGCAGTTTGGCAATAAAATTTCGCTTGAATTCCCGACGGACGAACATAGTTTAGTGTATTTATACGGAGTTAGCTGTGAAGGATTTGTCGCACAATCACAATTAAAATTCTTACTAGAAGGCCAGAAAAAGTGGGCAACTGGCAATGAATGTACTATTGTACGATTGATATAATAGATAACTAAACGACGAAGTGAATAATTCGCCTCTGCAAACTGAACTCACTTTCGCATATTTTTTTTTACTTGACTCGTACAACATGGTACCAGTTTCTTGCAAATACAATTTACATAAGATTACAAATATAAATATTTAACTCATTCAATTAGAAGATTGTCAAACGTGTAAATTAATCTTGAATACGCACGAAACCAAAATTCATTCGTGAGCGCAGTCTTGCAACTTACTGATTCTAGTAATGTCGTTCAAGAGCACAAACCGGAAAAATTTGCGAACACTGGTGAAGTTTCCTTCTTTTTTCGTCCACTTCGTGGAATTAGGTTCTTCTAAATGTGCCTCAAGTTCAGACGAAGTAAAAAAGTTTCCTCTTCGTGTGGCTCGTATATCTTTACTATATGCGTTTCTAGCATCAACTGAGACAATCCATCCGTGTTCCGTACAAGTTATTTGCTCAGCAACCGCGAAGCTGAAAAAAATTGCCGCAATTTATATGTTTAAATAAGCTGAAGTCCTCTACACGTTTGAAATGCCTCCCATGAATATTTCGATTTGATATGCAGAATATAAACGACCATTTGAGTGGCGAATCATGGGCCAAGCTTCCAACTAGCTCGAGCGACTTGAAATAAAAGCTCGCACATGGGATATTCATGGGTCAATGGCTGCAATCTCTGGCGTATGACGTTGCAGTAAAAAGTTAACAATATCACGACTTTCAAAGCGATCTAGTCACACGAGTTGTTGGAAAACCCCCAAAGAAACGTTTGTTCTCTACACTGATTTTTCTTTTTTCAGAAAATGTATCAAGTTGTAAACTGATCCTTTAATCAAGTTTTTCAACAATTCTACGTCATTTGTGCTGTATCGCCACACCTGAAGGAGCCAAGTTTGGTTTTAAATATTACATCAAAGCCATTTTGAAGACTGAGAGCCGAAATCTATTTACATTTAAGAGGATCACTAACGTTCTAATTTTCAATATGCGAGTAAACTAATCGATCAAATCTGAGTATCGCAATATGTCAGTCAGAGCATCGTAAAAATGCATGTATATTTCAATTCCGGGTGGGCCAAGTCCAATGAGTTCATAGAAAGAGGATAAGAAAGTCGATTCAATGATTCCCAAATTTTTCAAGAATCTTTCGCTCAAGGCTTGGCCATTATTGCCTCTTGCTCCTGCTTGATTGCTTGAAGCTTGATTTCGCGGACCTTGCGCCTTCGTTCACATCGCTTGCGCTGTTCTCTCAAGGAGACTTGGTTTTTGCGAGACTTGCGGAGGTTACGGCGGAATTTAGGGCAGCACTGCAAATTAACAGAAAAAAAAACATTAGTACATTTTAAAATAAATTGTACTTAGTAACGCTTTAGTTGTTGATAGTTGAAGAGCGATTCAAGTTACTAGTGGGCTAACAATTACTCATAAAAATTTGTACACACAGAACTCATTTGAGAAAAGGCAAAAAAAAAGTATTATTTAGCACCACAAAATAAAGTGACAAATGATTTCACAAGAGAATTAGAGACAACCTTGTGATTTTTTGCTATAAAAAAAAAAGAATTTCAAGTTCATGCCACAATGTAAAATATAATTTGTTTACTCGTGTGTATATATACTAAATTATCTTCCTTATTGAAACATCGTTCTTAGGTCACTGCATAAATAATACAAATCGTTTCTAATACAGGAGAGAATAACACAACCAAATAAGAGTATGCACTGGGTGAGCTTTTATGTTTACAAATAATATCGATATTTCAATCGTCAGCCAAATTTTTGGACCAAAGATTATTAAAGTAACTGCAGGATCAATTCAAACAAACTTTATTGAATTAAACAGAAAAAATCATCTAATGGGCAAGAAAATTTAAAACATAAATTTGGAGTTGACATGTTTGGAGGATTTTTTTTCTCAAAAAAAAACCTATAAATATACCATTTCATCACTAAAAAGAAAAAGAAGATAACCATATCTATAGAAAAAGAAAACTGTAATTAAACACATAAGGAGGATGCAGTTAACTCACCCCAAGTCTGTCAGGGAACCTCGGCACCTTGGGCTTTTTGATGCCATTCTTGTGATCCTTACGGGATTTGTTGCGATTTGTGTGATTCTTTGACTTGGCCATTGTGTAGTCTGTAAAAAAAAATGTAAAATCATTCAAGAAAAATACAAGATTACCAGAAAAACAAGTGACACGACATGAAAGTACTGATTTTTTTGGAAATAATATTTTCCTGGATCAAGTGAGATTTAGTGGCTTCAAACTAAAGTAAATAAGTTTGAAATTTTATGGCAATAAATATTTCAGTGACATTTGTAAATTGATGCTAGCAATAGTCTGCCCAATCCAGAAAAATTAAGGAAGAAAGTAGAGACTGATTTCCAAGATACCATAAAACAGGGTGAATCGGACCATTCACTTTAATGGACTATGACTGTTTTGACATTCAAGAGAAAACCCTATACTCATTATGGCTCTTGAAGTACCATGATATGACCCAAAAGTGCAATAAAGAGATATATTTTATATACTTACTAAGTGAATATTTGTATCACAAAAAAGTGGTAAAAATGGTACAAGTCAATGGTATAGGTCACCCCCAACAATGATCAAAGTTCAATAAATCTTACAGTTTAAAATTGTTCATAATTATAGCTATGTCCCTACAGTTTGGGTACCTTTTGCCTAATTTTTAGATCTAGATTAAAATGGGGCATTTAAAGTATATTAATGCCAGTTTGACTCCCTGGTCAAGTTGGGCAAGTTCAGCGGGTGAAAAATTGTAAGAAATTGTATCAAGACTTGAAGGTTTAGGACTTAAGGTAAATCTGACTTGAAATGAGTCAAACTCCTTGTAACCCAAGGCAATTTTACCCTTTCTTAAGGGCCTAACCTAATTTAAACCTTTTGAGCTATAACAGTATTAACAACCAAGAATATAATAATTACATTTCATTTTTTGCAAGTGCAAGCCCCACCACATACCAAATTACTAAGGCTATAAATACTGTAGGTTTATAGGAATTTAACAATTTGCCCTTAAGTAACTCAGACTGGGACATACATCGAAGCTAACAATTACCCAGTTTGAAGATGTTAACCCATTATTTTGAGCATTGAATTCTTTGTTCACACTGTGAATCTCTTATTGAGGCAACCATAAAAGATTTGCAGGCCACAAACTTTCTTGCTGAGCCTTGAATATTTAGCAAAAAACCAAACAAGAATATTTAATTGAAAGAAAGGGGCAACTCAGCTTTGTGAACAATCAAATGACAGATGTCACTGTCATGGCTGACGCCACACAGTGCTATTCAATGTTCCAGAAAATTCTATACATTTCTATGCTACATAAATTATTGCAGGAGTTGGTTTCACAAATTATGTTATACACTGATAGAAATAAATAGATTATATATTTATCAAGTCAAATTTTTTGGTCTAACCCAAAAAGATCTTGAATCAAAAGGCATAGACCCAGGATGCCAAAGCTGTAATCACAATGCTAACTCAAACCCCAAAAATTATAAGATACAACAATTATTGCTCTTGCCAATAAATTTTTTAAAGCAAAATTTACAACCAATATGGTGGAACACAAATGAGTAATGTGAATCACAATCAATGCAGGGGATGCCAATAAAAGGTCACAATGGCTTTATGGAAAGTTTGAAAAGATGCGAATATCTCCACTTAAAAGACCTGAGCTGTGGTGGTGCAGTGGTGAGAGACTCTGTCTCTCGCACCCAGCGCCCGGGTTTGAGTCCCACTGAGGACAAGTTCTACCAGGAAGCTCAGCTCATGGTCAACTCAGCCATTCATCCAACTCTGGTTGATAAATGAGTACCTGGCTTGTCCAGGGTGTTGCGTAATGCAATAAAATGGTTCTGGCAGGTCAGCAAGCCAGTGATGGTTGTAGAATTATCAGTGGTACCGAGTGCCCGGAAAAACTGACCCTATCACCCCCCTCTCCTGTCGCCACTGCCAGGATGGGTAATTACAACAACAACAACTTAGAAGGCCTTACTTTCAGCCTGGACAACTTTCTTCTTTTCTATGGGTTCCTTGTAATAAGCTATTAGATAAATATATATCATTTAACAACTTGTAAATGCTCCAATTCAAAATCTATAGGACAGCAGTAAAAATTTAGATTATGGGATAGCAGTGAAATTTATGCAGGTCAAATTCTCGAATCAGTTTCACCTGATGGTATGAACAATAAGCCAATCTGTGGTCTGGTTAGCCTAAAGTGGCAGTTTGACTGGGTGTGACAGGTTATTTTGATGTTGCTGGTTACAGATAATGCTGATATATACAACCACTTGATTATGGTCAAGCATGTTTTACTAGTTTATTCAGTGTGCTGTTATTTGGTTTGTAGGCTGCTAATGTAAGCTATTATGCACTGGTTAAGTCTATTAATGTGCTATGCTAACATGTGCTAATGGGTAATGCTAATGTTTGCTAATTTGCTATTATAATGTGTGCTAGTTTGCCAAACTAATTTGCGCTAACATGCTCTCATGTGCACTAACTTTCTCAGCTGAAGAGTACAACATGCTCTGATAATGTGCTAATGTACAAGGCTAAAATGTGCCACTGTGTATTGCTAATGTGCTTTGCAAAAGTGTTATAACAAGCACTGCTTCTGTGTGTCAGTGTTCTCTGCAATACTACTGTGCTCTGCTAACACCTTCCAATGTGGAAACTAATGTCCGAGCCAACTTGCTATGCTTACTTTTGTATGCAGATGTATAACTAATGTTCAATAATACTTATGATAGCAGATATGATGTCAGTGTGGGAACTGTCTTCTTGGTATATGGTATATAAGAATCACAATGGAATTGTTTAATCAGAGGGATTATCAATCCCAGCAACACTGGGCAAAGCTGCATTTAGCCATAGCAACAGGTTGCTTAAAATTCTTTGCATACAGAAAGGAGTTAGCAATTTTTTAGAAGAACCTACAAGAAAAGAAACAGCTTACAATGATTGTTTCAAAGAAAGATAAAACTTTAAAAGTAAACAGTGGAGTGTATATATATGTTTATCTGCATCATAAAATTGCCAGAACAAAATGACCTTTTATAAATAATATCTAGAGAAGAACTCCTTTGCCTTAAAAAATGCACAGCTAATTAACCCTTTCACAAGTAAGCTACCATATATGGTCACTTGAAATCACCTCACAAGGAGACCCACCACAGCTTCTGGTTTGTGTCTGAGGCTTCCTATCATGCCTCAACTAATCACTAATTATCTGACCATTTTTCCATGCTAAAAGGGAGAAGATGGTGAAAATGTGTGGGCTTGTGTGCGCACCCCCTACCATGCCCAAAAAAATAAATTAGGAGCATTCAAATACAAGTTTTGTCTTGGATGATGATATTGACATGCTTTATGCATTCATTTTAAAAGTGAAAGTATCAATATATATTTAATTATCAAAGGAGAATTGTTTTAATTGAATTATATTAAATTTTAATGTTATTAATTTTTTCATCTGCATAAACTAAATTTTAATTATAAATAAAAATTTTGTGTAGTGACTGCATTAAATAAATTTTTCAAGTGCAAATTAAACCTCAAATATGCTAAATTTGTGTAATACATATGAACGAATATTTCGTATAACACTTCTAACTTCATTTTACTGTATTCTGAAATTTCTAATTTGCTTGCCAGCAAATGCAAGGGTTAATAATTGTTCAATTCTTGTCAAAAAACATACTCTAATTTTTGGTAGTCATTTTTAGCTCAAAATTTGTTTTAAAATGAACAACGGTGCTTTCACTTAATTTCTATAATAATAAAGACTTAATACTTTCAAGAATATCCTTCTAACAATATCTGCAATACTATTTACAAAACAATTACAAGAAGCCAAAGACTGCAGCTACCAGTCTGAATGAACTATGCCAAGGTTTGTCTACAATTAGCCTTTTCTTCCTGTTTGTTATTATTGTGTTAGTAAATTCAACTACAACTGCACATTGTCAATTTTGAGATTCGTGACCGTAAAGCAAGCTATTTTATGATTACAAGCCTGTATTTACTAGTTTGGACAAAATTTATCATGTCTTCTGTAAGAAATTACTTGTAATCTGAAAATAACTAAAATAATTGGCCTAAAAAAATTGATAAAATTCTTCAACTTAAATCAAGTGACTAAATTCCAATTTAATAATTGTTCCAAATGCAAGGTTTATGGTGTTTTTCCCAAATTCCTGAGATTTAAACTGTCCAAAAGGTGTTTACATACTTCAGCTTCCTATAAATCATGGCAAAACAAACTCCTCATCAAGGAATTATCCTCCAAGAGGAATACTCTGAAGACTAACTGGTTCAGTTGCTGAGAGTGAAGCAAGAGTTGGTCGTTTTTTTCCACCCTCAATGCCTTTTGCAGTTTGCTGGCTTGCCAGGCAGTCTATAGTGGGAGCTGCAAAGCTTAGCCTACTGTCATCTTTATGGTTTCAAGTCACATAAAATTTCTTCTTGCTTTCAAACCCTGGTGAAAGCAATTGAAAGATTTGGCCAAAAATAGAGACCTGATCATTTGTAGACCTGATAAAGGCAGGGGCGTTGTATTGCTCGATCTTAGCTGGTACAACAGTAGCCTTACTGAACTCATCACCAATCCTTCTAAATTTGTTGAAATTACAGATCTAATCTCTAAAACAATTTTGAAAATTGAAGATAAAATTAATAACTTCTTGCTAAAACTTCAAGATTCTTCTGGCTTTTCACCAGAAACTTATTCTAAACATTGCACCTCTGGTTCATGTCCTGGTATTTTACATGGTTTGCCCAAAATTCATAAGTCCAACTTGGCCTATAAGTTTCAATGCCAGCCAATCTTTGCCGCATCTAGTTTTAAAGTAGTTAAGGGGACCGGCTACCCTCCAGAAAAACTTCTAGTTATTATCCGATCATCATGAAACTTCACATACATACGTAAAATGTAAAAAAATCACATTTTGCTTCTATGAATTTTGCAAAAAAATTGATAGAAAACGTGAAATTCATAGAAAACAGCTAAAAATGGGTACGGTACTATAGAAAATCTATCTCCTCCTACAAATATCATCCTACAACATCGAGACGCGTATCATTTGATTCGTAACGA